TCATTTGCTAAGGGCCAAGCAGCATCAGAGGAGCAGGAAGGCTGACGTTTTGGACTTCCTTCCGTCAGCCTTCCTGCTCCTCTGATGCTGCTTGGCCTGCTGTGTTCATCCAGCTCTACACCTTGTTTTCTCAGATTCGCCAGCATCTGCAGTTCCTACTATCTCTGAAACAATTTTAACCCCACTGCGAAGCCTCTTCTAAGGATGCCTACCCTGAAGAAGTTACCCTCCTCCCTCCAGAAAAACCTCAGTGGATCTCTCTCCCACTGCAACTCTCTCGTAAGGAAGAAGGGTCTAGACCCGAAACGTCAGCCTTCCTGCTCCTCTGATGCTGCTTGGCCTGCTGTGTTCATCCAGCTCTACACCTTGTTATCTCATCATTTGCTAAGTTGGCTTCAATACAGTCAGTCCCTTCGTCCAAGTCACGAATATAGATTGTAAATAATTGAGGCCCCGGCACTGATTCCTGAGGTATTCCACGCGATATAGGTTGCCAAATTTGAAATAGCTCATTTATCTCAAATCTTGGATTCCCATCTTCTGTCCATGCTCCAAGCACGTCGAACTTTCTCCTTGTACAATCATGTGGCACCTTGCTGATTGCCTATCGGAAATTCAAATGCATACCATCTAAGCGTTCCCATTTGTCTGCCTGCTTGTTATATCTTCAAAGAACTGTAATGAATCTGTCAATAAGGTTTCTCTTCCATGTCCAACATTTCTAAATGGTCTGCTCCTATCTCCTCAAGAAAGGATCCTAGCAATTTCCCCACAGGCAGGTGAGAGTCTAACTTGACTTTGGCTCCTGTTTTCTGCTGTCCTTCTTACTTGAAAAGCGCTGTTACACTTTCGGTTCTCTAATCTGCTGGAATTTTTTTGGAATCCAGGGAATTTACAGCCAATGCATCCGCTATCTTTGCAACCATTTCTTCAAAGGCTCTAGGATGCAGGCCTTCAGGTCAGGATATCTATCATTCTTTAGTCCCGGTAGTTTTACTTGTACTTTCTCTCCAGCCATTGTGATCGTTTTTCTTTTCTTTTGCCCCTTGGTTTTCTGCCGCTCTTTGGTTGCTTTTTGACACATCGAAAGTACTTGGCCAAAGTCCCCTTCATTTCCTTGTTTCCCATTATGAATTCCCATTTAAAGGACCAGCACTTTTCTCCTTTGTCAGTATCCTTAGGGTTGTTTTTTTATTTTTTTTGTTAGTTTTCTTTCATACTCGTAAGGATACAGAAAAATTAGCCATCCTTTGCAGGTGACTAAAACTATCCCAGTCTGCTGGTGCACACTATCTTGGCAATATTTCTTTCAATTTGATACCATTCTTGGTTAGCCATGATTGGTGCATTCTTCTCATAGATACTTTCTTTCTAAATGGTTCTTATTTTTTTATTGCACCCTGCTGCCACTGTGCACCAATGATGGAGTGCTACATTTTCCTGAATGTTGTTGAGTCTCTTGTGAGCTAGTTGCCAGGAACTTGATGCTGGTGTGGGGGAGCTGGGGAGTGGGGGGAGGGAGGGGTGTAGGGTACGGGTGGTGGGTGGTGCTTCAGTGACGTTTACGCTATTGAAAGTTAAAGGGAGATGATCAGATTTGGAACTTGTGTTTGCAAATGCTTGACAGGGCAGCGGATGTTTTCCTCAGTCATAGAGTCGTACGGCGCAGAAACAGACCTCTCGGTCCATCCAGTCCATGCCTAACATAATCCCAAACTAAGCTAGTCCCAACTGCCTGCTCCTCACCCATATCCCTCCAAACATTTCCTATTTATGTACTTATCCAAGTGTCTTTTAGACATTGTAACCATGTCCACATCCATCACTTCCTCAGGAAGTTCATTCCAAGGCAGAACACTCTGCAATTTTGGGTCCACAACCAGTACTCTGAAGACTCCTGCATGACAACATGAGGATCAGGAGCTGGAGCCATTTGGGCCTATGAGCTTGCTGCTTCATTCACTAAGATTGTGGCTGATCGTCCACCTCAACTTCACCTTTATCCACCATCCCCAAAGCATTTAATTCCCTTTGTAGCCAGAAATCAATTGACATATGTCTCTAATTTATGCATTTAGTGAGAATCCATTGCCTGCTGATTGAGGGATCGTGTCCCTGAAAGGGAATTAAACTACCAGAATAAAGCGTCCCAAGTAGCTGCAGTGACCAGTGGTAATAACACAGTCCAATATAGCTTTAGCAGAGGAGGGACTGAAAGTCTAATGAGGTTTACACAGCTTCTATGTAAGGGACCGGTGAATGATTCACAAATAGGAGTGAAAAATATGAGGAAGTGAAGAGTCGGAAGGAATGTTAAGGAGAACATTTCTGTCCAGCACATTATCAAATTGAGAAATAAGATATAAAACAAAAATCCCCTGAGACTGAGAGTATAAATGGATTTGAACAATCAGCAAACATGTTTGGAATGAGAGAAGATTTTGGGAAGAATGCAAGTGGTTAACTGGGGCTGGTGACAACCAACAACGTGTGTTTTTTGGACTAAATAGTGCCCATTAAATGTGCCCATTAAATAAGCTGTTTATGTTGTTGCAGTCCCTTACTCATGAATGGCTGGTTTGACATCTGGCAGCGTTGTTTCAGGGGAGTCTCAAGGGTGTACTCTGGGACAGGTGTAAACTCCTCCCTTAAACTGTTTCACTGTTGTTTGAAATGTTTGGTTAAGTGGGCTTCTGTGTGTACTTATCACCCTACAATGCATTAACCTCCATACTCTGCTGATGTTCCCATTGATTTTAAAGTTCTTCTCCTTGTTTCAGATCTCTCCATGATCTGCCCCCGGCCCCGCTTCACCCAAACCCTGGTTATCTCTTTTGATCTCTTGAGGTTCTCGGACTCTCTGGGGTCCCACACATAGCTTAACAGCCTGGAATTAGCAACCCCGCTTTTAATCAGTTTACCACTGATGGCCATGCCTTTGACTGACTAAGGACAGACCTCTGCAATTCCTTCACTGAATCCAACACCACCCCACCCCTCGTCTCCTTTACTTTTCTCCTTTATGATGCTTCGTAAAATCTACCCCTTTGGCTCTTGGTATCTTTCAGTGTCCTATTTTGTTCCGTATCACACCAGCCTTTGGGACTTTTCTTTAACGGTATGTGTTGACCTTTGACCCTGAAGTAGGACCATATGGGAAATTTGAATTTTTATTAATATTTAAGGGAATCTGCGATTGTTCTTCAGCATGCTTGATGAGGACTGTTAAGCATTTATATCAAGATTTATGCAATGATTTGCAATTTTCCTGGATGATAAAGAAAAAAATATTAGACCATGTAAACTGGCAAACATAGATTGGAAGCAGAGCCAGTACGAAGGGTGCTAATACCAAAAGCTGTGTAACTTTGGAACACATAGAGCTACAGTCAAAGGAGACCTATGAGCAGAGGAGCTGGAGAGTGAAGGCAAGTAAGGTGTAAATAAGAGGGGAGAAAAACAGAAGTAGGCAGAAAGAGGAAATTGGAATGCTTCTGGAGAGTAGATAACAAAAAACATTCTCAAGTAGAGACCAGTTTTTTTTTCTGTTTAACAAAAAATGAGATAGAAGTTCCTGGAGGTGCTGTGTAGCTTTGTTAAAACCCAGAAAGTTGTGTAAATAGCTTATAGGATGATAAAGAGATGGATGCTTCCCCAGAAATGACAAATCTATAACCCAGCGTGTTATTGGTTGGTAAGTTGAAAAGGAATTCTGAAAAGCGACACTATCACTGGTCAGTTACTGAGCAGGGGTTCCCAGCCACAACCAGCAGTGCTTAAACCTTTACATTTGCATATTGGGTCTGAGAATATTCAAGATCATTCTACTGAACTCATGTGGTATCTTCTGAGCCACTGCAACGATAGTTGAATCCATGCGTTGTTGATGTAAGTTGGATGAAGCAATTCTTCGAACATCAATCAATTGGGTAGCGTTCTCTCTGTTCTTTCTGGCTCTGTAGAGGAAATCATTTAGAAAGCAGTGGCTTTGGCCCTCCCTCAGTTCAACTCCTCCACTAGAAAACATTGGTTTGTTGATTTTAATATTGTTACCTATACTTAATAGATTTTCTCCCACAGAATTTTCAATCTTTCAGTGGAATAGGGTTTGGTTATGGTGGACTTTGCATAAATGATGTTTAATGCGGAGGTTTATTCCTTGTATATTGTAGTTGGGCCATTTAAAATAATGATACAGGGGCCTGTGATAGCCTTATGTTATGCCTTGTCTGATTCTCTTGTTCTTTGCTAATCCTCACTTCCATTGTTTGTTTGTGAGAGCAACCACTTACTCCAAATCTCTCTACCATTTGCTGAAGTGTGCCTCCCTCCTTGTCTTTCTTTACTTGTTGTCGTGTACTTTCAGACACATTGACACGCAGTTGTAAACATTTTCATTGTTTTGCAGGAAACCCCCCATCGTGCCTGAACATGCACTGTGACCAAAGCTGTGCTCTGATTGGAGGGATGCCTGTTTGTAGCTGCTACGGTGGTTACTCTCTGGGGAAGGACGGGAAGACTTGCTTTGGTAAGACCAATGCTTATCAACATTGGGAATTAGCAACAGAAGCCAAGTATTTAAGGGCTTCATAGCTCTGATGTTGATCCTGTGAGAATCAGACTAGAAAGTTCAAAGTCTTTGCTCAGTTGGTGTCCCTCTTTAGAGAGGTGATGACACACTCTCCTATCTTGGTATATTGGGCCTCTGTTACTTCCTTCAGGCCTATTGGGAAATGATGGATGTCTTGCCTTTTTCTGCCTGATACACAGGGAATTAATGTCCCTATGACTTTTAAGGTCCATCCTCGCGTTGGTATTAGCCTCCAAGCCCTGTTGAAGGAGATGGCAAAGTTCTATAACTGTGTTCTATCACTTCCACTTCCTTGGTGAACCTTAGACTGTTCAGGCATTACTGCTGTGTCTCCTGGAGGTTATGAGAAGTAATTTTGGTCAACCCCAGTGTTGGTAGGCCCTTCTTGAGAGAACCTTCCTCACAGAGCTCCCCCTCCCTGCAGCCAGTGCTCCAATTGCTGGTCATGTTGCCCAGAGGCTCTGCAATGACTGCTACCAAATGTCTTGTGCAGTTCTGAGAAAGGGTCACCGGACCCGAAACATTAACTCTAATTTTGTCTTCACAGAGGCTGCCATTCCTGCAGAGCTTTTCCGCCAACTTTGTTTTTGTTCCTGATTTACAGCATCCACAGTTCTTTCGGTTTTTATCAAGTTTGAAAAATCTGTGTCAACTCAGACTGATGCTGCTATCAGATCATTCTTCACATTATCGAAGCACCCACAGATGTTGGCACTTAGGACCAAATGGTGCCCGACTGGGTGCGGCCTTATGGCTTTGAGGCGCCTGTAACACCAGTAGCTGTGAGCCCAGAATCTCAGACCACATGTGTTGTCTAAAAAGTATCACTTGTGCTCCCTGGGAAGTACGCATTTATGCTAGCACTCACAGAACAGATGTATTTGATGGAATAACTCATCCTTCTTTAATTGTGCTACCTAATTATGTGTTGATATGTAAATGAACAAGGCAGGTCAAGCGTGGCCTGTGTATTAGGAGCTGACGCAATGGGAGTATAAGTATAGCTGCCTTGATTGTTACTAATTTCACATTTACGTGTATGAAGATGAACTTAAGATGAAGTCAGAGTTCGCTCAGCTAAACAGGGCAGTGAATGACACAAGCTAAGCTGAGATGTATATTTAGAAGGATTCTGTTACAGTTGAGGGCAGTGGTGACTTACACTGTTAACTGGTGGAGCAGTGGGGAATGCTTGCCTGGTTCTTTGGTCATCAGAATAATTACTTGAGTGGTGAAGTGGGATTTATGGAAGCCTTCTTGTAAAGCTGTAGGCCCTTTTTTTAAAATTTGCTGTTTACTAACAAGTCTGCATAATGCCTGCCATATTTCACCCAGAGTGCTGGTTTTGTGCCTGTGAGAAGATAACAGCACAAGTGAATTTCCAGGCAAATAATGTCACATGGATGTAACCACGCACAGCTTCTGAAGTCCGTTTACATCTGAAGCATAAAATACAATAAACAAGGAGAGCTCAGAGACATGCATTCTCTTTAAAACATATAGGAAAATGGTAAGATTGAATTTACTTTCCCTTTAAACTGAAGCAACCAGTGCAACTGTGGGATGTTGTGAAGAACAGCAGTGAAATGTGTAAGAGGTTTAATGGCATTCCGCAGTGCTCCTGGCATTTTGCAGCATCCACCCTCTGCACCCTGACTTTGGTTGTTAGTTTGTGTGACCCTGAGAAAACAGATGTGGTGTCAAAATGAATGGAAACACATTGCATCACGTTGTAAAAGAGTTTCAAGTTTCATGTGTGGAGCAGGTATATTAATGTAACTGCGGGTCTGGACTTTAACTGCTGCCGAGGGAGTCCAGGGAACATCATTTTAGCTCAAGTCAGGGTTTGGGTTTGAGTTTCACTGAAGATTTATGCTAAATGCATGACAAGCACCTCCAGTTAAAGATTCAGGTATGCCTTTTCCTGTGTACATAAAACAGGCCTTGTCTCTTGAGCTCATTTAAATTTACATGGCTCCGACCTTGGCTCCAGTATTGCTGTGGAAATATAAGGAGTCAGGCACTTAAATCCCCCTCAGAACAAATGTGGAAAGTAAAAGTTTACACCCTCTCAAACCCCAGATACAGAATCTCAGAATTGTCACAGCATAGCCGAAGACAGTTCAGCCCATTGTGTTTCTGCTGGATCTCCGTTAAAGCAATTTACCCAGTGCCACTCCCGTGCCTTCTCCCCATAGTCCTACACGTTCTTCTGTGTTAGATAACAATCCAATTTTCTTTTGAGTGCCTTCATTGAACCAGCTTCCACCACACTGTGAGGCAGCATATTCCACATCTCACTACATGAAAAGTGTTTTTTTCTCACGTCATCGTTCCTTGTTCCATAGATCTGTATCCTCTGCTCAATCCTTCCATCAATGGGAATTCTCCTTAGCTGCTCGATCTCTCCCCGAGTAGAACAATCACAGCTTCACAATCTCTGATACCTTTACTTCTTTGCAAAATTGTGGTGCCCTGAACTGGGTGTAGTAATCTAGTTGAGGCTGAACTAGTGTTCTAAACAAAGTTACCATAACTTCCTTTCTTGTACCTGCCGATAAAGCCCTAGGTGATATGTCACTATGTCCTACCACCTTCAATAACTTCATATACATTTACTCCTCTTTGCTGTAAGTGTTATGACTGAAACATGTAAATGACTACCCTAGGGCTGCTTTGTTGGTATTTATGGATCTCAATATTGGGGTGGATCTATCACCAGAGAAATCACAGTGTAATCTTCAGGCTTAATTGGGTGATTTTCAGTTGCTGCTAATGATCTCAAGCCTCATTAACGATACGAACATGGAGAATCCAAAACATGAGCAGACTAGAGGTGAGAATTCAGAATCTGCGGAGTAAAGACAATTGTATCCTTACTCTTTATATATAAATCATATACAGTTGGAGCCTGGATCTGTAGGTTTCTAGATAAGATAACCATTCCTAGTATCTTCTGTATATAGTTGTGTTTAATAAAGCCTGTTGCTCTTCACTCACAGGTGTGTAGATCTCATCTGACTACAGCTGCAGGTTGCTTTTAGACAGGAAAACCCATTCCGAATGGTGACCTGCTTGGAGTGGCCATTTTTAAAAACAAATTAAAGTTAAAAAGCACTGGCAAGAATGTGTCTCCATCTTGACGAACCCTCTCCCTCCCTCACTTACCTGCAAAGGCAGCCTGCTGCTTTTTCTGTAGGGTCTCTTATTGGCTTTCCAACTTTGACAACCTGTCTGCCATCCTTAATTGGATGGCAAGATTGTCCTCTGTCCATTAGTTGGCTAATGCAGGGGAAATTGCAGCAGGGTGACTGCTCCCAACATAATATCAGCTTCTGACCCACACTTGATCTTGATAGTAGGGTTCTGAAGCCCAGTGACAATATCCTGCCCCGAAATTTAAAAGCAGGCCTTTTCAGTAGATCAGTGCAGGGATATGGGTGCTGGTGGCAGGCCCACTGATATTTCCCTGCCTTTGAAAAGGTGATCTGTTTTCTTGAACGAGTACATTTGGTCTTCCATTGTAACTTTTCAGGGGTCCCCAGATGATATCATAACAAAACATGCGTGCAATAACTTAAGGCTGTAAATAATTTAAATTGGCTGCCGATGATAGTTTGCAAAGCATTAAATTAGCCCAGATGTCACCTATTATTCTGAAGTGGATTGAATCAGGACTTGTTAGTTTTAAATAAGTAAAACTGATATTCCTAGAAGGTGATATCATCACTTTTTGAAGCAGTGCACAAATAGAAGCAATTATTAATGTGAATTTAATGGGAAGTGAACAGAATAAACACCACTTCATGAAATGTGAAATTCATTAAATCTTTCGTTTGACAGTTCAGGACACCAGCATGAAAAATAATCTGACACCAACCAATGCATAATAAATGCACCACCCCTCGCTCAACACAAGGAAAGCTTGTGTAACATTTCACTGCAGCATTTCCACATCAGTCAGCCCCACCCACCATGCCCTCTCCTAGTAAAAATAAACATATTTTACAACCATAAGGCACGCAACAACATTCACACTTGAAGTCAACCATAAAACTGAAATTAAACTTTCAACACTGCCATGTATTTCAACGTTTATTAATGGACTCCAGACGATAGGATGGTAATAGAAAAATACATAAATCATGAGAAAACAACTTTGGTGAACAGCAACTTTTAATTTTTACCATGCTTTTTTTTGAAAGGGATATAAGATATCTAAACCAGTTCTATATGTGCATTTGCCTGTAGTGGACCAGAATTCACTGTCACTCATTGACAATGCCTCAATCTCTGATTGAGGGGGAACACAGATGTTTGCTACATTTGCATGGATCCCATGTAGAGGGGACCACATCATTTCCCATTTGTTGTGTGCATCAACTTGGAATTCAAAACCCCATGAAACTTAATTGGGCAAAGCTGAGTCAAATGAATAGTGGATGTTATTTGTTTGTAGCTTGCAGTAAATTCTTCACAGATAAATTAGCATTCAGGAAGCAAAATGACTCAGTAAGGGAGCATGGTACAGCTCACAAGACAAGGTGGTGCCAACAACTTTAGATTCTGGATGGAGAACCATTTCTCCTGAGAGTCACCAACCCATACATCAACCCTTCTTTCTGTCAGGGTAAATCAGTGTGTTATGCTTCAAATAAAAGAAATATTTCCTTGTTAGTGCACAGCCCAAAACTTGTACTTAATACCTAATGTGCAATGAGCTTGAACTAAAGCTAATGATCCCACTTTTAATGCTTATCATTTTAAAATCCAATTAAAGCTACGTGCACAAATAATTGCCTGAAAGCAGTGTAAAGCATTGGCAAGTTCCATGTAGCAACATGAACTCAATCTTACTTTGCACTGGAAAATTCAGTTTATAAAAGAAAGCAGTTAACAAAGAGAGAAAAGGGGTAATTTGCAAACCTCACGTTCCTGTTGGACAGTGCGTACTGATAATAGAGATCACCAGTGTTCTGGTGCATTGTGCAAATTATTTTTGGACCAGAAATTTAAAAGGCTAGAAAACAAATTTCAGCGCATGCACAGATTTCCAATTTGCTTTCCTGCCAAGCAAAGCTCCCCAGGGATACTTCAGTAATAACAGACAATGCAAAATTTGTACTGCAAGTGTATCCTTCACAACGTTTAAATTGGATTTCACGATATATCAAAATGCATTTCTATGAATTTCTAATAAGAAAACTATGTCTTAAAGCTTGAAACAAATGTAATTTCGCAATGGAGTTTTCTGTGATTCAGGTTTATGCTAATTTTTCACACATTAAGTATGTAATGTATTGAAATCTGTTCCATGCATAATTCATAAAATGCCTTCAACTGAATGAGGTAGTTGGCAGAATCGTCTCCCAAAGCACAACAGCTCCAGTCTCACAGCAAAGTTCTATCTGTAACAAACTGTGGCCATTTGTCCGAACAGTGTTGTGAATGTTAAAAGTTAATGTCTTCTTCACACAACTAGTTGTCGTCATTCACATTGATTCCGTACAAGCAATACTGAGATCCTGACAGGAATGTCCAGTTGTAAGAAATTGGAAGTAAAATGCTGAGCTACCTTTCTATGAATTTCACCATCTCATATTGCTAGAGAATGTTAAAAGACGTATGTCATAATGAGTGTCATCTTTAACTGATTATATTTCTCTGACAGGTGATAAGGATGATGTAGGTGTGAGGACTGATGATATGCAATATTCCAGCATGTATATGTACAGAAAATATTCAATATATGTAGCATGATTGTAATGGATATCATAATTAGGATCTTCAGCAGGCAAATAATATCTGCAAAACTTTTGCATCTTCCCCCCCAAACACATCCTCCACTCAAACTGCATTTGATCATATCCAATTCAAACATTCCACAGTGAGCCGTGTTTCTATTTTGGGGTTCTGCACACTGGAGGGAGCCATTGCAATAAACAGGACTCAGGATGCTCTTGATGTGTCATGTTTTGAATGATCTGCCTTCATATATCGAGCATGACAATCAGTCACATGAACCAAAGTAAAAGCAACAGGTTAATGTACCACAGCATGAGCCAATTTTGGTATTTAAGTTACTCACCAAACAAATGGGGAAACCTTAATTTACAACCGAATGATGTATAAGCAGTGCCTGAACTCACATCACTACTTGGTATTGCTTAAATTTACACCTGAATGGTTAAACTTACCTCTCCCATCTCTACCTCTTATTCTGCTGTATAAGACGTGCTCAGTCCTCGTAGGCTGCGGCAACATGAGCTGTGGTGGTTTGAATTGCCCTCAATATTTTTTTAACTCTCTACATTCCTGAAGCTTTAGACTCCTTTGGTTTGTCTTCCCTGTCAGTTTCCTGAATCTAGTCATTATTATTGCAAACTCAAGGCAGTGGCAACCTACTGGTGCATTCCACAATGGGAAAGATTTGGGAGGCGTTGGCTGGTATTCATCCTACAGTGTGGAAGCAGGTCATTCGGCCCATTGAGTCCACACTGACTCTCCGAACAGCATCTCACCCAGATGCACCTTGCTACCCTATTCCTGTAATTCTGCATTTCCTCATGTCTAATCCACCTAGCCTGCACACTACGGGCAATTTAGCATGGCCAATCCACTTAACCTGCACATCTTTGGATTGTCGGAGGAAACCAGAGCGTCAGGTTGAAACCCGCACAGACACGGGCAGAAGGTGCAAGCTTCACACAGACAGCTGCTTGAGGGTGGAATTGAATGCAGGTCCCTGGTACTGTGAGGCAGCAGTGCTAACCACTGAGCCACTGTGCCTCCCCCGTACAGGAATGTTAATCTGGAGACTCAGGTAATGACCTGGATTCAAATCCTGCTACGGCAAAACCCATCTGGTTAACGAATGTCCTTGGTGGAAGAAAACTGCCATCCTCACCTGGTCTGGCCTATATGAGACTCCAGACTCAGAGCAATGTGATTGATTCTCAATTGCTTTCTGGGCAATTACAGATGAGCAGTAAATGCTGGCCTAGCCAGTGACGCCCTCATCCCATGAATTAATTATAAAATGAGATCACAAAATACTTTAACAGTACTAGCCATCTTTTTTGGAGTGCAATGACAGTTCAAAGCTTTTTGTCTTGCACATGTCAGGACTAAGATGCAAGAAGCCAAACACTGAAAGGGAGCACCAATTTATATGACAAATGAAAGGGGTGCTGATTGGTTGAGCCATGGTTAGCATGGAGATAAGGCAGGATTTAAACGCTATGGCATGCCTCTAAGGTCATTACATCTGAGGTGGGACTTGAACCTGGACCTTCTGGCCCAGACGTAATGACACTACCACCTTGGCACAAGACCTATCAGCAGGATCTGTTAATTTTCAACCATAATTAGCTGAATAACTTCAGTCCAGGCTGGCACTCTGGTTTGGGCTTTGTCATGGAGAATGCAGCAGAGATTGGCATGCTCCGAAACCCTTTTTCAATGGAAACAGTACAATGTATTGACAGACACATTTTGCTTAAACAGGACAGTGACCTGTATGTGAATTATACATTGTTTGTAACACCCACAAACGAAATGCTGTGCAAGCCCAAATGATCATAAATTGGTCTGTGTCATAATTCTTAGCACAGTCTGGATTTGACCCCACAAATGATTAGTGAGTAAGAATTTCCATTTCCTTGGTGGTGTCACAGGCTATACAGTCTAATGATAGGTGAGCAATATCAAACTATCCATCCCTTTGACTGTCTGTCATGGGCAGCATATTGATGAACCTACTTTTGCATACAAATCTCAGAATATACTGTCTGGCACCAGATGTGATTCTGCTATTGGACAACATCTTGTAAATAATCCAGACTGTGCTCAGAATTCCACTGGATTGCCTTGATTCTGTGGTCAGATCCAAACTCTCCTAATAACTATACCGGAAATCAATTTAGCATCAGTATGACTCACTGTGTGTTTCTTCACCCTTACAGCTCTTGTTGGTAAGCAAAAAGAGTCTATGTGTGCTTTGCACATTTTTCATAAAGGGTTATTCATTGTGTATATCCCATGGCAATGACCTGACCAGTTAGAGTCTGGCAGCCCAGTCTGAGGTTTATCAGTTCAGCTAAGATTGGCAGTTAATAGATCCTACATGCCAACCAATCAGGACCTCCTTCTAGTGCTGTATAAATTGGTGTTTCCTTTCTAAGCTTTGTTTCCTGTGTCCCAGTCCTGGTGAGAGCAAGATGAAAACCTTTCACTTCATGTCACTCCCTAGCAATGTTTAAATTGTGTACTACCAATTGTTCCAATCAAATAAAGCCAAAGTACTCCATACACAAAGTCTGTGGTATTTGGATCTGAGAACGAGCTATTGATTTGCAAAAGCTGCATGCAAAAATACTTGACTGTGACTTATGGTGACCTCCCTCCTTTCTTGCACTGGTTTTTAGATGTGGATGAATGTTCCCGATATGGGGGCCAAAGTCTTTGTCAGCAAATCTGCAAGAACAACATTGGCAGCTACAGATGTCTCTGTTACCAAGGATACCAGCTCTTGGCCAATGGGCGCACCTGCATTACTTCAAAATATTTAGGCTTAACTGGTGAGTAATAGCTTGATAGAAGTGCTTCATGTGACGAAGATGGACGCTGAGTCAATAAGGAAAGATTCAGGAGTCATCAGAAGCTTAGTCAAAGTGGGTGGGTCTACTATATCCCCTGCTCCCGATGTAGCCTCTTCTACTTCGGTGAGACCAAGCGTAGACTCGGAGACTGTTTCGTAGAGCATTTGCACTCTGTACGTGACAAATGACAACACCTTCTGGTCGCCAACCATTTTAACTCTCCCTCCCACTCCCTGTGTGACATGTCCATCCTGGGACTCTTCCAGTGTCACAATGACGCCACCCGCAAACTGGAGGAACAACACCTCATATTCCGCCTCGGGAGCTTACAGCCCGATGGCCTAAACATGGAATTCACCAGCTTTAGAATCTCCCCACCCCCAGCCTTATCCCATGTCCAACCCTCCCTCTCATCCCCACCTCCTTGACCTGACACAACCTGTCCATCTTCTCTGCCACCTATCCACTCCTCCCACCTCACTGACCAATCCCCACCACTCCCTACCTGAACTTACCTATCACCATCCCACCTACCTTTCCCCAGCCCCACCCCTCCTGTCTCTCTTTATATCACAGCTCCCTTCCCCCTCCCCATTTGTAAATAAGGGTCCCGATCCGAAATTTCAACTTTCCAGCTCCTCTGATGCTGCCTGGCCTGCTGTGTTCCTCCACTCCAATACTGTGTTATCTCTGACTCCAGCATCTGCAGTTCTTGCAGTCTCTGGGAATTTTTAAAAGTGGGTCTTAAAGGAGGAGAAGGTGTTGAAGAGGCAGATGCTTTAGGAGAGCCCCTCCTAATCTAATCAGAAAATTCTAGCATGGATGTTGAAACTGCTGCAACAGATGTTTGGGGTAACAGAATAATGAGGGCTGTACTCAGAAATGGCTGCTTTCCATTGTCCTGCATTTTGTTCTGATTTGCTTACAAATTAACTTGCAAACTGACTCCAGAACGGAACCTGTTCACAACCCAGGGACTGCCTGTATAGGACAACAAGCTGGGCCATGCTACTTTGGTACTATACAGTGTGCTTTCATGCTTTGTGATTTATGTTGTGTTCTTCACTGAATCAACGGCAGAATTTCTTGGCTTTCTTTGTTCATGTTCCACTCTGCACCGATGGCTTTAAAAAGCATCTTAAGTCCCTCTTTTACTTGATAACCTGTAGTCTGCAACCTTCATTTTATATTTCCAATGTTTATTTTGCTTCCCTGGCCTCATCAGCTTGTACCTGTCATTATGAAATGATATCAGTTCAGTCCTCTAGTCAATTCAAAGTCTGCAGTTTTTGTGAAAGAACAAAAATAAACTTGTGCTGGAAACCTGAAAATGAAGGTACAAGTATCTGTAATCAGGGCAGGCTGCTCATGTGGAAAAAAAACAGTGCCAGTCACTATTTCAGGTCTTAAATGAAACCTTCTTCAGGTCAAGGAAGAGTTTAAGGCCCGATGTATCAAGTGAGTCCTGATTTTCTGTCATTGCTGTCAGACCTATTGAGTATTTCCAGCTTTCCCTGCCTTTATTTTCCTTCTCTAATCGGTCTCTTTGTTCATCTCAAAATAATGCTTTGTTTTCTGTCCTCAGTTCCAAATTATGGGTGTTCACTGTAAACAGTAGGTTTACACTCACTCCAGAGGTACCCAACTCATCACCTTCTCCCAATCTGATTCAACATCTGGTACAAAATGTCTTGCTCCTTCAGACTGAGTCAATTTTAGATTCACTTCAAAACACCATCGCATCTTCCTTTCCTTCTGTCTCTTCTTTCCTACTTTCTAACTTTATCTCCCAACTGGATTTGCAGAAGTTGTGAAATTCAACCTATTGAATTTCAGTCATCCAACTGGTCCATTATCTCCTTCAACTAGGCACTAATTTTAGCGAAATAGCGAATAACAATACTGGATAGCTCACATTTCTCTGGGATTGGGGTTAAAAGTGAAATAAAAACTTATATGTAGCTGCAAGAGAGTAATTCACCTTTTTTTAATCAAATACATGGTCATTGCCAAGTGCCTCTGGTAGAATACATCAATTTTATCTTGAATAAACTAAATGTATTAATTTTATGCATTAATGGGAGACAAAATTAAAATAGGCCTAATTCTGATTAAACTCTGATAACTCTTTTTTGGCTTTTTAAATAATAATTTTGACAGTAAAGTCATCCCTTTAATTTAAATTTTCTCAATTCCACGATTTTTTTTCGGCTATTGATTCTAGTGATGAAGAGGTAGCTTTTTATCGGTTAATTCAGGATAATTTTTATCTTCTAAGCAAATGTGGCATTATAATAACACAGCAATAAAACCTGCTCCTTGAACTAAAGGCATTGTCTATAACCACGGTGTGGTTGTAATCTTTCAATAAGGTTTACTTCGAGCACAAGGATGGTTTTCGCTGAAATAAAGCCATAAAGCGTAGCATAATGATTTTCTTGATTTCACATTTTTTAAAATAAATTAAAGTAAGCCTAATTCTGATTAAAACCAGTTTTTAGCTTTTTGCTAATGTGATTTAAGTGGAAAAGTCCCCATTGGGTGCTGTAAATGAGATATTAAAATGTTGAATGCAGCTTTGGTCCCCAGGTTGCAGACCCCAATCCTAGGCATTTTACAACTCTCTCCATTGTACATGACCTGTAATGTTCATCGACTACAAATAAAAGGCTCAACCGTGAATAGTTTCCAGGGCTATTTTTGCTTGTAATCGACAAAGTTTACTTGTAATAAACTGCTATTACATTTGTCCTCTTCAATCACTATTTCCATTTTACTGAAGAAAACGGCTGACCAATTTTATGACCCATTTGCTCAGGTCCTTTACTTTTGGACTCGGGGGCCTTGTTGAAATTGCTGAGTTTTGCACATGCCTATTCAGTGCAGACTGTGACTAAGGAAGAAAAGACATTGTGTTTTAGTGTTATGAGAGTTAATTCTATTTCTGCATGTCTTATCTGAGCTAAATCCAGTAGCTTAGTGGTAATCCAGAGTCCTGGACTGATGCAAGCTAAAATCTCACCATTCAGTCAGTTCAATAAATCTGGAAGGATCGGTAATGTACGTAAAGTTATGGGATTTTGCCATAAAAACGTAACTGGTTCATTAATGTCCTTTAGGAAAGAAAGCTGCAGTTTTTCCTTGGTCTGGCTATATGTGAACTTAAGTCCTAGCCCTTCTTAAACTGCCCTCTGAAATGACTAGTAAGCCATTTAGTTGCATCACTCTATGAGAATTATGATGGAATACTTTTTACTTGCCTGGATAAGTGCAGTTTCAGTAACACTGACAACAGCCCTTTACCCCATCTTAAACATGTACTTTCTTCAGCACTGGTGCACAGTTGCAACAGTGAGCACCATCTAAAGCAGCAGCATGCCTTAGCGCCTTCAACATCATCTTCCAAGCATGCTACCTCAATCAGATAGAAGGAAAAGAATAGCAGGCACACAGGAACATCTCTACCTGCAAGTTCCCCTTCAAGCGATCTACAACCCAGCTTGGAACTATATCAATGCTTCTTCACAAGTGCTGAGTGAAAGCTGAGAAATTCCCTCCCTGATAACATTGCAGGTGGACTTTTGGCATGTGGTCTGTAGCAGTTCAAGACGTCAGCTCACTTCTACCATCTCAAGGGCATCTGGGGATGAACAACTACAGTTGGCCTCTTCAGAAGCAATCACAGCCTATAAACATATGTGAAAAACCGTAGACTGTCTGATAGCAAACTAGGCATCACGTTGGGAAGCGACAAACAGAAATTGCTTTTGTAAAATGCATGAACCTGAAGAAGCAAATGGCGTCCTGTGATAATGGATCCTTTTTACTTTTGAGATTTTATTGGGTTCTGCATTTCAGACTATTCTCCTGGGCAAATCCTATCTCCCTATGAAGATGTTATAGATCACCCAGCAACCAAAATTCACATCATGAGCCGGAGTTGGTCAGAATAGCCTGGTGAATTTTAGCTAACAGTATTATTCTATATCTTGTTTATCTTCAGAAGGCGACAAATACACAGGGTGGTGAAGAAATCATTTGCTACCTTTGCCTTCATTGATCAGGGCATTGAGTGTAGGAGTTGGAATGTCATTTTGCAGCTGTACAGAACTTTGTTTCGGCCACTTTTTCAATTGCATTCAATTCTGGTCTCCCTGTTATAGGAAAGATGTCGTTAAACCTGAAAGGGTTCATAAAAGTTTTACAAGATGTTGCTGGGACTGGAGGGTTTGAGCTATAGGGAGAGGCTGAAAAGGCTTGGGCTATTTTCCCTGGAGCATCGGAGGCAGTAGGATGATCTTATAAAGGTTTATAAAATCATGAGGGACATTGATAAGGTGAATAGCCAAGGTCATTTTCCTAGGGTAGGGGAGTCCGAACCTTGTGAGCATAGATTTAAAGTGAGAGGGGAGATATTTAAAAGGGACCTAAGGACCAACTTTTTCACACAGAGGGTACTGTGTGCATGGAATGAGCTGCCAGGGGAAGTGGTGAAGGCTGGTACAATGACAACATTTAAAAGGCATATGGATGGATACGTGAATAGGAAAGGTTTAGCGCAATATAGGCCAAATGTTGGTAAATGGGACTGGATAAATTTAGGATATCTAGTCGACATGGATGAGTTGGACCGAAGGATTTGTTTTTGTGCTGTATAGCTCTCCAACTCTAAATGTGCCTGAACATGCTGATATTTGTAGAATTGATGGTTGCACAATTCTTTGAAGTAAAGTTTCATTTTTATATTGAGACGCCCACTATTGTTTTGTGTAGCACTACCATCCTGTTTAGGGTGATAGATTCAGAACAGATCTGAAAGCTCTAAACTGGGGATTCGTTGTGTTCTGGGTCATCATCTGTCCCAGAATTGCATTTGTCCACAATCTGAAACCTAGTCTCCCATTCCAGAGGACCAGCATGTCTCAATGAACAGTTTAGGAGCGTGTGCCCAAGCAATCACAAGGGTGTAACTGAAAATGAGGTGCCAATTCATGAAGTGACAACCCAGTACTTGATGCCTGCCAATCAGTGACAGCGGTGTTTATAAACACAGTTAATTGATCCCACAACCAACAACAGATTAAATTATCGTTCTGATAGCCTGTCATACATAGTTATGAATGGTGGTGTAAAATTCAATAACTACGCAGTGGATAAGGTTCCATGAATGTTCCTATCCTTAACAATAGCCAAGCGCAGCAGGTCAATACAAATTAAGACTGAATCATTGGAATCCCTGGAAGTACCAAGTGCACAATTTATCATGACCTAATGCCAGTTCAATCCACTGGTGAAATGAATGCGTATGGGCTACAGCAGAATCTGTGCAATCAAACACCATCCCGGTGTTTCCTACCTGATGTCAAGGTTGAGGACATCTCTTCTGGTCTGGAGAGGAATGATCCAGTTTTTGTGGTCCACGTAGATTCTAATGCGATAAGTAGGACGAGAGAAGAGGTTCTGCTCAGGGATTATGAGTAGCTCAGGGTTAAACTGAAAAGCAGAATGGCAAACGTGGTAATCTCAGGACTTTTACCTGAGCCATGGACAAAATAATATATGGTAAATGTGATTCGAGTGCTAAATACACAGCTTAAAGATTGGTGTGGGAGAAACATGTTCTGATTCATAGGGCACTGGTACCAGTACTGAGTTGATCCATTAGGATGGGCTTCATTTGAATTATGCTAGATCCAGTGTCCTGGCCAATGGTATAATCTATGGCTATAGATAAGGCTTTAAACTAATGGGGTGGAATAATTCAATTGAAAAGAAATGTTAAAAATCCAAGAAATGAGAGAGCAGAGGTGAATAGTGGTGAAGAGGCAAACCATAATCAAAGTCTGATGAGGAGGGGCATAGAATATGAGCAGAAGAATGCAGCAGAAATGAGAAGCGGGATATGTAATCATGGTCAGAAATCAGAGCTTTAGATACTTTATCCGAATGCACACAGTATTGCTCCTCACTGGGATTGTGGAACAGAAATCAAGGCCTGCAATTCCCAGAATCTTCACAAAAGTACAGCAGGAAGGAATGGGTGGTGTGGTGGCTCTCCCTAACAAGGGAAGGAGATGTTAACTACTAGGTAACTATTGGCCAATTAGCTTAATGCCTGTTTTGTTTTTCCTCAGGACTTCCTGGCCATTGCGGAGAATATGGCTGTGACATGAGTTGTAACCATGGCGGCTGTGAGGAGATCTCACGTGTATGTCCCGTTGGCTTCGCCATGATTGAGACCAGCAACGGCATCAGCTGCAAAGGTAGAAGGCTCAGTGAGGGAAGAATTTATTCATACTTCCTAAAGGATATCCTTCTAAAGTCTCACTTGCAACATGAAAACAAGACACTCAAGTCAGGGGAAGTGTCATGTCCATTCTAAAATCTCAATAAAAGGTTTTGACAGAATAAGTAAGGGGAAGCTGTTTCCATTGGCAGGAGAGTACATAGGCAGAGGAGATAGATTAAAAGAGATTGACAAAACAACCCAAGACAAGGGACAATTCTTCCGGCAGCAAGTTATTACAAATTGCAGCATACTGCCTGAAAGGTTAGAAAGAAGTGGGTTCAGGAACAATTACAAACCATAATTGGATAAGCACTTAATACAGTGAGATTTACAAGGCCCTATGGAAAGACCAGGGAAGTGAGAGCAATTAGCTCACTCTGTTAAAAGAGCTGGCACATGCTCAATGTGCTGAGTGACCTCTTACGGTGTTTGATGATTTGATTCAGTGGGAGCAATACTGGGCGCTGCTGCAGTTGACCTCAGAACCAGAGAGGGGACAAAATGCTCTTGTGTGAAGAATTGGCACTTGGGCCAAGGTACCAGAGATCTAGCCACAACATGATAAATTAGTGTAAGGCTAGAGTGGCTCAGTAATCCTTTCCCTGGTCCTGCCCTTTTGCTTACTCTGGGAGGGTCTTAAAAAAAGGAACTCAGAGCTTTCAAAATCACCTGGGGCAGTCCATTTACTTGCTGAAACATCAGTGATTGGCATTCAATCCAATCATCATTACAATTGTAATGCAATAATTGTTTGCTATATGATTACAAGTCTGTCTGCTAGTGGTCTTTAGGTTGGAATAGTATATATTCAGCTGATAAACACTCAGTCACTCTTACAAAAATGCCATTGAGATATACAGCACGGAAACAGTCCTTTCAGTTCAACTCATCCATGCTGACCAGATATGCCAAATTAATCTAGACCCATTTGCCAGCATTTGGCCCATATCCCTTTAAACCCTTCCTATTCATATACCCATTCAGATGCCTTTTAAATGTTGTAATTGTACCAGGCTCCAACACTTCCTCTGGCAGCTCTTTCCATACATGCCCCACCCTCTGCATGAAAATGTTGCCCTTCAGGCCCCTTTTAAATTTATCCCCGCTCACTTTGAAACTACTCCCCTACCCCAGGGAAAATACCTTGTCTATTCACCCTATCCATGCTCCTCATGATTTTATAAGTCTCTGTAAGGTCAGCCGTCAGCCTCCAACGCTCCAGGGAAAATAGCCCTAACTTACTCAGCCTCTCCCTTTTGCTCAAACCCTGGCAACATCCTTGTAAATCTTTTCTGAACCCTTTCAAGTTTCACAACATCCTTCCTATAGCAGGGAGACCAGAATTTCATGCAGTATTCCAAAAGTGGCCTCACCAATGTCCTGTACAGCTGCAACATGACCTCCCAACTCCTATATTCAATGCACTGACCGATAAAGCCAAGCATAACCAAACACTGCCTTCACTATCCTGTCTGCCTGTTACTCCATTTTCAAGGAGCTATGAACCTGCACTCCAAAGTTTCTTTGATCAGCAACACTCCCCAGGACCTTACCATTAAGTGGATAAGTACTGCCCTGATTTGCCTTTCCAAAATACAGCATCTCACATTTATCAAGATAAAACTTCAACTGCCACTCCTTGGCCGACTGGCCCATCTGATCAAGGTCCCATTTTAGTCTGGGGTAACCTTCTCCGCTGTCTACTGTACCTCCAATTTTAGTGTCATCTGCAAACTTACTAACCATACCTCCTATGTTCACATCCAAATCATTTATGTAAATGATGAAAAGCAGTGGACCCAGCACTGATCCTTGTGATGCACCACTGGTCACAGGCCTCCAATCGGAAAAGCAACTCACTTCCACCACCCTCTGTCTTCTACCTTTGAGCCAATTTTGTGTCCAAATGACCAGTTCTCCCTGTATTCCATGTGATCTAATCTTGCTAATCAGGGTACCATGAGGAATCTTGTCGAATGTCTTGGTGAAATCCATATAGATCATATCCACCTCTCTACCCTCATGTGTTTAGCCACTGGAGATTTGAGGAAAGGCTCAGCTATAATGTTAGCTTCCTGGGATAGAATCATAGTGTAGTACAGCATTTAAAGAGGCCCTTTGGCCCAAACTGGTCCGTGCTGACGATGGTGCCCACTCAGCTAGCTACAATTTCCCACATTTGGTCCATACCCCTCTAAATTGTTCCCATCCGTGTACCTATCCAAATGTTTTTAACTGTTGCTATTGTACCTGCCTCAACCATTTTCTCCGGCAGCCCGTTCCATACACGCACTGCTCTCTGTGTGAAGAAATTGCCCCTCAGGTCCTTTTTAAGTCTTTCCCCTCTCACCTTAAACCTATGCTGTCTAGTTTTCAATTCCTCATTCCTGGGAAAAAGACTATATGCATTCATCCTATCAATGCCCCTCATGATTTTATATACCTCAATAAGGTCACCGCTCATTCTCCTACGTTTCAAGGAATAAGATCCTATCCTCGCCAACCTCTCCCTATAGCTCAGGCCTCCTAGTCCTGGCAACATCCTCGTAAATCTTCTTTGCACAATTTCCAGTTTAACTATGTCTTTCCTATAACAGGGTGACTAAAACTGTACACAATACTCCAAGTGCAGCCTCACCAACGACTTATACAACTGTAACATAACATCCCAACTCCTATACTCAATGCCTCGACCGATGAAGGCCAGCATGTCCACCTTTCAGTTATGTACTTGTACCCCTAGGTCCCTCTGTTCCACAAAACTCCTCAGGGCCTTACCATTTACTGTATATGTCCTACCTTGGTTTGACTTTCCAATGTGCAACACCTCACACCTAACTGTATTGAATTGCATTTGCCAACCCTCAGCCCACTTCCGCATCTGATCAAGGTCCCCCTGTAATTTTTGATAACCTTCCTCGCTATCAACAATACCTCCTATTTATATCACCTGCAAACTTACTAATCATGCTTTGTACATTTACATCCAGATCAATTATGTAAATAACAAATAACAAAGGATCATTGTATGTGCTCCTAAAAGTGGAGTTACATAGATCAATGTGTAAAGGAGTGTATTTCACATGTTGACCCAATAGGTGGATGAGAAAAAATGGAAAATTTAGGGTGAAAGTCTTATAATGTGATCCCTAAAGCAGAGTTCTTATTCCACTCTCCTTATTTCCTGTAAAAGGACCTTTCTTATCATGACTTGGAAGCTGTTTTTTTTTCTTGAGAGTGAAGTAACCCAACGCTCAGTAAGTTTGAGCAGTTTAATTTTTTCTTAATCCAAAATAGGCCTAGTATGAGCTCCATTTGCTGTTACTGAAAATTTGCAAAGAGGGCCTTTCAATTGATACATGGCCCCGTCTCTGCAGAGGCAATGAGTCTGCCACCGATTTGCCTGGGTGCCTGAGGCATGCATTGAAATTCACATCAAGCAAATCAGACTCCCCTCATGTAAACAGAGTGGGCGGTAGTTGAGAACTGTGGTCCCTGGTCTCCTCCATATCTCTTTGCTGAACCAGTCATAATGCGTCACAATGTTGATGTTTTATATCTTCCAACTATGACTGAGTGCTCAAATGCCTCTTGTTAATAGCCACGTGAGAATGAGGAAAGTAAGTTTGTGTGTGATTCTAGGGGAGGAATAGAACTGTCCCCTGACAGGATTTGATGTGCAGAAGAAGGAAAAGAAAGAATTCTGAAAAAAAGTTCCTTTTTTTTCTAATTTTCTGCATTTGTCTGATCAACTGGGAAGCAAGGGAAGTGATTGCTGGGCCCCTTGCTGAGATATTTGTATCATCGATAGCCACAGGTGAGGTGCAAGAAGACTGGAGGTTGGCTAACGTGGTGCCATTATCTAAGAAAGGTGGTAAGGAAAAGGCAGGGAACTACAGACCGGTGAGCCCGTTGTCAGTGGTGGGCAAGTTGTTGGAGAGGATTCTGAGGGATAGGATTTGCATGTATTTGGAAAGGCAAGGGCTGATTAGAGATGGTCAACTTGGCTTTGTGTGTGGGAAATTGTGTCTCACTAACTTGATTGAGTTTTTTCAAGAAGTGACAGAGACGATTGATGAGGGCTTGGGTGGTGGACATTGTCTATACAGACATTAGTATGGCGTTCGACAAGGTTCCTCATGGTAGACTGGTTAGCCAGGTTAAATCACATGGACTACAGGGAGAACTAGCCATTTGATTACAGAGCTAGCTAGAAGGTAGGAGACAGAGTGTGGTGGTGGAAGGTTGCTTTTCAGATCGGAGGCCTGTGACCAGCGGTGTGCGGCAGGGATTGGTGCTGGGTCCACTGCTTTCATCATTTAAATAAATGATTTCAATGTGAATGTAGGAGGTATGGTTAATAAGTTTGCAGAAGACACTAAAATTGGAGATGTAGTGGACAGCGAAGAAGGTTACCTCAGAGTACAACAGGACCTTGGTCAGATGGGCCAATGGGCCGAGGAGTGGCAGATGGAGTTTAATTTAGATAAATGTGAGGTGCTGCATTTTGGAAAGGCAAATCAGAGCAGGAATTATACACTTAAGTGTAAGGTCCTGGGGAGTGTAGCTGAACAAAAGGACCTGAGAGTGTAGGTTTGTGGTTCCTTGAAAGTAGAGTTACAGGGAGACAGGATAGTGAAGAAGGTGTTTGGTATACTTGCCTTTATTGGTCAGTACATTGAGTATAGGAGTTGGGAGGTCATGTTACGGCTGTACAGGACATTGGTGAGACCACGTTTGGAATACTGCATTCAGTTCTGGTCAGCTTGCTATAGGAAAGATGTTGTAAAACTTGAAAGTGTTCAGAAAAGATTTACAAGGATATTTCCAGCATTGGAGGGTTTGAGCTATAGGGAGAGACTGAGTAGGCTGGGGCTATTTTCCCTGGAGCATTGGAGGCTGACGGCTGACACCATAGAAGTTTATAAATCATGAGGGTCACGGATAGGGAGAATAGACAAGATATTTTCCCCC